TAAAGGACAGATCATAAACACAACTCCCTAGGCAAACAATGGGTTTTATTTTAAGAGTGTTCCCTAAAAGCAAGGAAATAGGAAAAGAGCAACTTTCTGCTTTGGTCAAAAAGATGCAAGCAACATTATGGCATTGTGCTGCAATTATTGTGCAAGAAATAGATACAAATGGTACAAGGCTTGCATCCCAAGACCCTAAGGCAATTTTCTTCACCTTGTCACTTCTGCAGACACCACTGAGGATCAACATTTCTTTTCCAAATGTCTGAGGATCAGCCCTCTAATTGAGAAATTTTCAGATATAATTGTAATCTGGATTCAAGCATTTTCAAAGCTTGTCTCTTATTTCAGGCAAGTATTATAAAGGTCCTGATTTCATGAACCATTGTAGCATTTCTAATCCTGAAGGGATGACATGTCTTTTCAACTAATACACTAGATGAAACAATTGAAATTGATGTTAAGGATAACAGACATACTGTATACTAGATTTGAGCTGGAGGAAAAGAAAAAAAAAACCTTCTGAATGACCATTAGATGATAGCAAGAATATGTAAAACCAAACCAAACAACAATAACAAAACTCTAGCTCTCTACTCCTATCTAATGACCAACCAGATTTTTGCAGTCCAAATACTATTAATGTTTTTTAAAATAATGACAAATGCAATAACTGAAAAGACATCACTTCATTTGAAGGTGTGATATTTATGAATACTTTTTAATCAAGCGGACAGATTAGAAGAAAAGTTTATAAACTCCATTAGTTAATCTGTCATCAAACTGTCACAGAAGGCAAATAGGAATGCCATTCTTTCTGAAAGAAAGAAATCAGCAAAGTATGCAACAGCGAGTGAAAACAGAGAACAGCTAGCTACATTGATACGCCTTCCTTAAAAACATCCATCTTAAAGAATTAGGTCTGTCAATTGAAATCTAGCTGTATGTTTACTACTGAAATCTGCTTGCTATCACTCACAATCAAATTCTGAAGTCATGCAGAATATATGGCATGCAAACCAGAAATCCTACTACTTGTTAAATTATATAATCTGAAAGTATATTTCTGTATATAATTATTAACCTTAATAAATTGGTCAACTGCAAACCAGTGCCCCAGAATATTCTGTTAATTATGATACCCAACAGAATTAAGAATTGATATGCTATACCCATATTTTAGGTTTCTTAAAGCAATTTTACCCCGGCAAGCAAATTTCGTGAATCCTGTAATGATCTAAAAGATCCTGGAATAGTGGTGGCAGACAGCTATCCGACACTGAAATCTGTTGCTTATGATTACGGACATATTATAAAAGAAAGGGAATATCAAACAGAAATTCAATGGGAAGAAAATAGAACAAATAAAATAACATTTTATGCATTATTTTTTTTCTTTTCAAATGATACATAAAATGGTTAAGATATGAAATAAACTGGTCTACATTTCATCCTAAACAAGGAAATAAATGTACACACATCAGTTTAGTAAACAAATACTAAACACTGAAAATAATACAATACTAAAGATTGATAAAAGAAGTTTGCATTAATACAGAAAAAAAACTTTCAGTTTTAAGAAATTGCAGTATGGTAAGCCTGATAATATTCCAGATTCAAATAACATTCTTTTGGAGAATGTATATTCTTAGCCTTGTTCCTTGCCTTTTTAAAAAAATCAAAATCAAAACTTTCTTGGCTTCATACAGTGAGTGATAAAATCAAAAATATCTCATGGTGTTTTGTTTTGCCAGATTCTAATATTTTCTTCTATTTTTAATATTGCTTTTTTGTCTTCCTACTCTCCTACATAAGCAAAAACTAAGACATGCTACATTCTTGAGAATATAACAGCTTCTAGCTCCATGGTAATGAAAAAAAAGAAATAAAGTAAAAATTTAGCAATAAATGTTAATTGTCTGAATAATCTATATTATTTTTAATTATATATACCACTCTTGTTTTTATGAGTAAATGAAGTTTTATTTATTTGTATCCCTTCTTTATTATTTTTGCAAATAATTCAAGGTGGCGAGCCTATCCAACACATCTTCCTATTCCTATTTATACATAATTCATTCTAACAAGTGACTGAAAATGTGCTATCAATGTATGACATTTACTTTACTTTTTTCAAAGTTTCTGGCTTGCTCCTGTAAAAAAAATGCTCTCATTCCAGTTTTCTGAAAATGTTACTTCTCCAATATCAAAGAGTATTTCCATGCTTTCTGTTTTTGGCCACGCTACTTAGTTTGTGCTCATCAAGAGCCTCCCTGCCCTCAGCAGCTTTCTAAGGGAGAATGGGATTTGACAGGAGGAGGATACATGCATAAACTACAATCAGCAGTGAAAGCAATCCATGCTGTGCAATCACTCTTGTAATCCAAGAATTGTCGTCCTTTGGCTTTAAACTAGCCGAAAGACATGTTATTAAGATAGGATATGTGCATATGCCATTTTTTTTCTAATCATCTCTGCTTGGTTTATTTTAATCTTTTGTTTTTAACCATCTATATATTGACAAGGCTTTTACATCCACTGGGCTGGATGTATCAGCTGTTGAATTTTGAATTTCAACCAGAGACCGGCTTCTGCATAGATGCTGAGACCACCGTGACTTTTGGCGAGCGAGCGTGTTATGAGTGTGCCATATGCACATATCATACTGTAACTGTTTTAACTGTTATATAAGTATATGCACAGGCTCCCTTGTTATTCAGTCCTTGCTCTGATGATGCCAACTGCTAGTTGAAGAAAGCTTAGCAATAAAGAAGCTTTTTTTCTTATATCCCGGAGCTCATCATTTTATTTTAGTGATTTCAAATGTCCACATCTGGGATTCCAATATTTAAATTTGTTTGTTAACTAACAAACCTCAATCCCTTTTATTTTACCAGATACACATACTCGGTCAAGACACTGTTGGAATACTGTACAGTCCATGGTTCAAATATCTGACATATACAAGTATATTTTGGCATATGATGCTATATCCCCGAATCTTATAATATTCCACAAGAGAGCAATCCCTACAATAGTGTAGAATGATTCCCGTGTCTGCCAAATTAGAGCTACATTGAACATTGATATACTTCTCTCCCAGCAACAAGAAATAATGTGCTCTGAATTAATAGTGAAACTTCAGTGAATCTCTAAACAGATGGAAAATAAATTGACAAATTCTGAAAATGGCATTTCTGGGATCCATGGCAATCTTAAAATTATGAGACCTCAAGCTCTTCAATTTAACAACATTTGTAAGCATGGGAGAGAATTATTACTTTTTTTTATTAAATGAAAATTCAGACCTTAGGAAAAAAGAGCAAGTTCATTATGAACTTATAATAAGCATGCAAACTGAAATATTTAAACGGTACAGACATATTACCAGAAACAACTTAAAAATAATCAAATTACCCCTGGATGCAGAGGAACATAAGCCTTTGCTAATTTACAAGGAAGAAGGTATTTAAGAAATATTTTTATTGCCAGCTGTTTTTAAATTTGAGATATATCAAGGGCAAGAGGTAATCCTGCCAGGAAATTTATTACTACAATATGAAATCTCTGGGATCATTTGAAGCATTTATTCTCAAATCTATTCTTGTTATCAACTCAGAAAGAAAAAGATAAAAGAAGATTTTAATTTTATACAGATGGGAAAAAAACGCTATCTACCCCACATATGACTCGTACCAAATATTTATAGTAGCTAAAGTTAAAATGCAACTACTACATTTAGAATAATTTTAACATTCTTTGAAATACATAAATCAAAACTTTTGGGAATCAGGAGAGAAAGATGGAAAGTTTGTTTATTGTCTGAAGCAACAAAAACAACATATTTATGGCTTAAATTCAGGTCAGTGAGAGTCAGTTATGTACTAAGACAAGACTCTACTAATTACCAGTTTTACAATGTTTATAAACAGTTTTACAAATTGGAGGCATCTGTAACTGAACAAGTAATTACTTTCTTGGGAAATAGTTGAAATGGAAAAGGTGTCTCAGATTTTGCCTTTCCACTAGGGAAGGTGGTTGTATTCATTCAAACAAATCCCAAATTCTGCAACTCTCTGAGCTAGATAGATAGCTCCTAACATTAATCCACTGTGTCTAATCTAAAATGCAAAGAACTGTGAGTTCAATTCATGGTAGAAAATTTTAAACCCCTAGAACCATATCTCAGTACCTACCTCTGAGGAATCCCAAATAGGACAAAACTCGTCACACAGTTTTGTGTCCTGGTGATAAGTGTTAACTGAAAGTACTACATAGGATATAAACTCTATTAACATAAGAGAGATTTCTTCTTCCTTCTGATAAAGGTGGTGATAGAAGTCATTTTAACTCTGTTCATGGGGGCATGCGTAATATAACATCTGTAACTCTTTAAAAGCTTAAAGCATGGGTGTCAAACTCGATCACGTCACATGATGTATCATGACATATAACAATGTCCTTTGCGGAGCCGGGGTGGGTGTGGCCTGCGCGTGATGCATCCAGCCCACTGGCTGCCAGTTTGACACCCCTGGCTTAAGAGAAGAGAACTGAAAACAATTCTGACAGATTGAAGACGGAATACAACCCAGATGCTTTAGCAGTCTCAGGGGTGCCTGCAGTTCTAGGATCCTTAAGAGTTGGAGTACTTGAAGCAAAATCAGCAATTCAATATTATAAGGAATTAAAAAACAAAATGTAGGTTAGCATTAGTTATATATCTGAATTCAAAATAAAGTCTTGCAATACATAAATTTGGAAATTAAACAGGCCCAGAGTTTCATAAACTTAAAAACTGATTAATGACAATGTTAATTGATCATAAAATATTGTTTTGTCAATTGAGCCCCAGAAAATGGACAGACAACAGAATTTCTGTTTTGATATTGTAAGAAACATGAATATTCTTTAACTAATACGATTTAGTCTTATCCAGCCATTGCTCTGAAATCATGACAAATTTATTTTCACAGTTTTTCAGTTGACATAACAGATCTTACCTTTGAGAAAAAGTCCAGGTTGCTTTCTCAGTTGATCGAGCCAGATGTATCCACCTTAGGGCATTGCATGTCTCTTTTGACAAACACAGAGATGTTGCAATTTATCCAAGTGAAAAACACCTCATGATGCATTTTACACCATAAAAATGCACCATGGAACACAGCACAAACTTAGAGGAGTTCATCAGAGAGCAAGAAGCAGGAATTAGGTACAATTGACAATCTTTGCAGGCAGTCTCTTCAAAACCATGGATGATGGAGAGGATCTAGAAAAAAGAATATAACAGATTGGTTTTTCCCAGGAAAAAAAATAAGGAATAGAAAAAAGAACTTTAAGAATCTTGTAAAGATGTTAAATCAGCTTTAATTATAAAAACATTTCAATATTCAGGGAAATGAAAAGTCAGTCTGATTTTTCTGAATTGGTTCAGGCAGGTGGAACAGCAGATATACCTACCAATCTTTTAAAGCCAGTTTCTTACTTTGCTCAATCAATATTTTTATATGCATAAGGTTTTTAATAAATGTCCTTTTATCCAAATGCTAGAACTTGTTATTCCATTCCACCATTCCTGATTCTAAAATTAAATGGTTGTTTCCAGACATTCATATTTAGAAAATGTATACGGTGGCTTACAGGACATAAACTTTGTTGAATTGCCTTCAAGATTTGTATTGAATGTACCTTTTTATTTTGTTCCTTTAGATTTTTCTTTTTCTGTTATTATTTTAAAAGCAATAACACTAAATAATAAATATATAGATTTTGTTATATCTCCTACATCAAAGTTTCATCTTTATAAATCTTTAAATGAAGCTACAATATTTCATAACAACTATATATCATTAACTAGACATAACATATATAAACTTATGAATTCATATGAACATATATTTCAGACTTTTGTTTTCAATAGTTATTTTATCTTATCTCTGTTATTTTAAACTATTGCTTTTACTATGTTTTTATTGTGTTTTTAACTGCCCAGTTTTTAAAGTTTTAAAAAATTCACTACCTTTACAAACTTGTGTCTAAATTTAAAATGAAAATGCATCTTTAGCAAAGAAACAGTTCATCTAAGATTCAAAGAAATAAGCCTTGATTTTCTCTCATTTGTTTCTGTGGCAAGTGCAGAAGCATAAATTTCCTAGAGAGATCATTAACTCAAATAGAAAATTATATAATACTAACTTCACATTAGAAGTTATTTTTTATTTGTATTTGGATGCAGTGGAGGAAAATAGAATTTAATCCTGAATTTTATTTTAAAAAATTGTTCTGTTGTTGAGTTTCTTTTCTATCTTGACTGATTTGGACAATGAATTAGTAGGTTTTCATAATTATTGAAATATACCAATATTGTTTCTTATTTTTAAAGAATAAATACAGGGATTTATTTTCTTCAAATACAAAGGTGAGGGATAATCAGCAATCCACTAGTAAAAAATAATCAAGGAACTCTTGTGAGAACACATTTCCAGGATACAACTGTTCAGGTTCTGAACCATTATGTTTACATTACTGGCTATTGTTTTATTTAGCATATTTCCTTAAATAAAATGTTCTTTCACTAATGATGAAAGATATATACCGTATCACTCTCCAAGTCGTGCACATTGACAATCATCACCTTTGTAATTGTACCAGTGGACAACATGTATTTCTATTGTAATTGTTCTATTTTTCTTTGCTTATAGCAAAACCAAAACTATAATGCATAATAAATATTTAAATAATTTGAAAATATTGTGCATGTGATACAACTTTATGAAGCTTTCATATGAAAGGTTAATTATTCCCAGGAATTGGACTTGCTGAAAACACATCTTATAAACATTCCAACAAAAATCTGATTTAAGTTACAGACGTCATAATCTTTTCTTTGTGTTTTACATGAAAATACAATGTATATGACACATTCTACATTAATTTTTGTTAATTTTATTTAAATATAAAAGGCATACAGTAATGAATATTACATTACGTTCTATTCATGATATCTCCTTTCCTTTTTTTCACTGTTCATTGTAGTGCCTGTAAAAACATTGTTTTTTTTTATCATATGCACATGTTTTCCACTTCCAGCTATTTACCTCTCCCACTTTGGCCTCAGAAGACACAACAATCATTGTATGTCAGACTCTCAAATGCGTATGTCAAGTTATGAGATGCAAATTTCAACATATCACTGAGAAGGGATTCTGGTAAAATATGTTTCCATAATATTGCAAGTCTATGTAATCCCAACAGTCAAACTCAACTCAAGGGTTTTTACTTATTAAAAGTAGGCAATGATATGTCAATCATTTATATATCATGCTTCTCTGTTTTGGGAGCAGTTTAGATTCTTTAAGATTGCAAAACCTTTCCTCTCAACTTAACATTTAGTAGAATCTTTTCTCTTGATTTGATAAAATTGGTAACATTTTCAAGACTGATAAAAAAAAAATACAGTGATAATTCTCCCTCTTAGCAGATTGCACATTTTAATTACAGAGATTTTATTTTGTCAAAAAAGACAATATATCTATTGAGTATATTTTTTAAAAAAATAATGGTTGGTATAAGAATCTTCTTTATTCAGAAAATTTTTCATATTAATATAGAAGTCTATTTGACTGGAATAAACACTTTTTTCTTTATTTTTTTTAAAAGATATGTTTAGAAGTTCAGAAATATTTTAAACTTTACAAATATAATTTCAAACAAACACCTTAATATTGTTTCTTTGGAGAAAAGAATCCAAACTTTCCAACCGATAAAATGATTCAACTTCCAATTTTGCAAGATCTTGTTTAACAAGAGAGTAAATATTCCAAGAGGCAATTGTGAAAAGGGTAGAATTGCAGACTGAAGTGGACAGGAAGATGCTGGTACTTGCCCAGCCTCTCTGCAGATAGTGTGCTGCACCAGGGAATGTCATGGGGATGGGGATGCCAGTTGCAAGTTTTTTTTTTTTTTTTTAAAAAGAAAGCCTGCGCTGCATGGTTACCATGTAGCATATAGAAAGATCCTCTTCAAGAAAAGGACATACACTATTTTGTTTTTGTTTTTTTAAAAAAGGGGGATGCCAAATAGAATTATGCATAGGGTATTTTGTATGACTGTAATGGCCCTCACAAAATTTATTAATTTTGGTTAAGTTCAGATCACCAAGGTACAATGAATTGCATGCTAGGATAATAAAGGAACTTTCTGGTAAACTATTTATTACCTTTATGAAATATTGGAGCACAGCTGAAATGCTAGATGACATAACAGAGAAGATGCATTGTTCTTTTTTCAATAGGATAAAAAAGGAGGAACTAACAAAGACCCATTAACAATTTTTTTAAACAAGTTTTTTACATTAAAGTGCTTAGGAAACAATGTGGAGATAGGGTAATCAATTATCCACAAAGAAAGTCATAAATATTTAGCTCCTTAAAAAGTTCCCTCTCTATTTCTCTCAATTAGAATAATACAATCAAATTGCTAGGCTTCTAGATAAAATTCAATCGATCAATAGTGACATTTTAACTATATAAATCCAAATCCTGTTTTAAGCTTTGCAATTTTCCAAATACCATATTCCAATTCAGCCTTAAATAGACATATTATTTACATTTCGGGTATCCCTAATTTCCCTCACTGAAATAATAATTATAATGTCTAAAAGTAAACTTATTATTCCCATAATTACCATCTTACATTTCTCCAATATATTTTGTTGCTTATTCAATAACTCTTCATTTACTAATCTCATCTATTTCATTAATACAATCCTTTCTTTATTTTCATTCCCTTACAACATGATTATCATACCTAAAAGAAAAAGAAGAAAAAAAAAGAAAGGAAAAAGAAAAAAAGAGAGAAAAAAAGGAAGATCTATTATATCAAATAATATATTCTCAATTATGTGTTCTATATCTTATTCTAATAACTCCTCCTTTAAAAAGATCCAAATCCAAAACCTTAAATCAATCCACCTTTCAGAAGCCTTTTCAACCCATACATATAAATTTAAATCTCATTTTTGTAGCTTATTCTAGCTTTCTTTCTGTGCCAAGCAGGTTTCCGTAGTAAAGCATCTGCAAATGTCTCTCCCATAATTCCTTGGAGTATCATGTAAATCAAGGAAAAACCTCCCATTATCAATTTTACTAAGCTGGCTCCTTTGCAATAGATCCAATGTTGTTCAGAAAGTTCAATTTTTAATATTTGATTATGCTGATTGATAGCAATGAGCACATCTGGGGTTGAAATTGAAATACTTTTACATTATTACGTGGAAATTATTTTTCTTAAGATAATTCAATATCCATGTGATGAAATCAAAGGTCTGAGAAACCATCCATGAAATGAAATACAGGTAAGTCCTCGGCTTATAACCACAACTGAGCACAAAAGTTCTGTTTTTTTAAGTGAGGCATTTGTTAAGTGAGTTTTGTCCCATTTTATGACCTTCCTCGCCACCGTTGTTAAGTGAATCACTGCAGTTGGTAAGTTAGTAAACCTGGTTTTAAGGGCATCTGGCTTCCCCACTGACTTTGCTTCTCAGAAGGTTGCAGGCCTTGGAACACAGCAACAGTCCTAAGTATGAACCAGTTGCCAAGCATCTGAATTTTGATCACATGATCATGGGGATGCTGCAAAGGACATAACTGTGAAAAATGGTCACTTTTTTCAGTGCCTTTGTAACTGTGAACAATCACTAAATGAACTGTTGTAAGTCGAGGACTACCTATAGTTTTGGTCACCGCGATGTAAAAAAGATGTTGAGACTCTAGAAAGAGTACAGAGAAGAGCAACAAAGATGATTAGGGGACTGGAGGCTAAAACATATAAGGAATGGCTGCTGGAATTCGGTATGTCTAGTTTAATGAAGAGAAGGACGAGGAGGGACATGATAGCAGTATTCCAATATCTCAGGGACTGCCACAAAGAAGAGGGAGTCAAGCTATTTTCCAAGCCCCCTGAAGGCAGGACAAGAAGCAATGGGTGGAAACTAAGCAAGGAGAGAAGCAACCTAGAACTAAGGAGAAACTTCCTGACAGTGAGAACAATTAACCAGTGGAACAACCTGCCTCCAGAAGCAGTGAATGCTCCAACATTGGAAGTTTTTAAGAAGAGACTGGACAGCCGTTTGTCTGAAATGGTATAGGGTTTCCTGTCTGAGCAGGGGGTTGGACTAGATGACCTCCAAGGTCCCTTCCAACATTATTATTATTATTATTATTATTATTATTATTATTATTATTATTATTATTATTATTATTAAAGATC